ATTGAAAAGCCCAAATAGCCCATGAGAAATAAATAAAGTGAATGGGAGTAAATAGGTCATTTTCCAGTCACCGTCACATTGAAAAATTATCAACAACATGTTAAGTATGTCGCTCACTTATATTGTACCATGTAGTTTCATAATATTGAGCGATTGCTAGTGGTAGATTTAGGATTTGAACCTTAGGAGGTCATAGGGTTGATCTAGAAACAGAGCGCGAAGTGCGCAAAAAAAATTCATTTTTTCACTAAGGCATTTCGCCTAACAACTTGGTGGGCTTGTTTTCGTTAGTCAAACCATGTTGCGTGCATATCATCAAATATCGACATATGTCGAAACAATCTGATGATTGATATTGAGAGAATTTGTCAAGTGTTGTTGACGCAAGCTGTCAAGGTATACCCATCAAACATTATATCAAACACTTGGTAAGGACAAAAGAAACTAGTACCAAATATTAGAGAATAATCGGAAGACCTTCATATGTAAATTTTTCGAACTCCGTGTAATCTTGCGACCACCTTGATTCCAGTATACATCCGCCCCTAACTAGCGCACATGATTATTGATTCAGTGGCGCTAGGTATTCACTTTGTTGAAAGAGGTAATAGAAAAGAAAACTATTAAGCTATTACTCTTGTAGTTGTTAGGTTATTATAATGTGGAGTGCTTGATTGAAAATTGAAGAACCTATCCTAAGTCTCATAAGTGGGATGAACGTGCATGACTTCGCATGAAAAATTTTCTTTGATAATGACATAAATTGACTCAACATTATTTGGTTCAGTTTAACTTACGTTTTTTCAGAGCAAAGCAAATTAAATCGGATTGTACCCACCCCTACTTGTTACAGAGAATTCAAAGGCTAACATTTACCAACTATATGGATTATGGAAAGTCCCTCCACTAAAAAAGTTAAAAAAATGGTCCCATTCATGCATCGTCTTGTTCTTGTTAGTTTTTTCCTCCTCCTTCCAAGGCTGCCGGTATTCTTTTGGTCGAGAATTTGTGTCAACGAGGGCACACCACAGAAAAAGCACGTTAAAAACACAAAGACAAAGGTAAATAAATTGCAGAAAAAGCAAGTTATAAACACAAAGGCAAAGGTAAATACATTGCAGAAGGTGCCTCAATTGGACCATGTCGTTTTACTGTCAATTGTCTATATTTAGTATATTCCATACTTTTTATTTTACTTGGGATAAGAGAAAAAAGGTGAAAAAGTAAAAATAAAAATATCAAATAATAAAGTTAGGAGAAATGGTAAAGAGATTATTTCAAAAATAAATTTTTTAATGTAATCTCTATCATTTATTGACATAATGTTTTATAATATTAGTATAAAAATTAACGTTAAACTATGAGGTGACAGAGAGTCTGTAAAGAGTCTCACTTTGTGAGAGGCCCCTTAACATTTATCATAAAGTCAGATAAGAGAAATGCTAAGGGACCCTCTTAAAATTGACTCTCCATAAACTCTCTGTCACCTCATGTTTTTTACTCAGTCTTTTATAATATTGGCACATAAATTAACAATAAAATGTCATGACGACACATAGTCCATCGAAAATTCCACTTTAAAAGAGTTTTCTTAACATTCCTCAGTTAGATAAAGCAGTTGGCGCAGATAGAGAATTCTCCTTCCTGACCGCCACTTACAAAACTGGTGGAAAAAAAAGAATGCCCTAATGAGGTTTAGGGTTAGGGTTTTTTGGGCAATAGTGCTTGACATTTAGTCACCACATGTTCATTTTTCACCGTACTCTTTTTTTCTAAGAAAATTAGAACCGTAAAAGTGGTCGTTTAACTGTCGTTACATACATGGATTTACCTAAACAAGTATTGGGATTAATTTTGTATTAATTAATTAATCATTGTATTATAAAAAAATTAGGGTTTGTTGAGGGCGGGAGGGAGGAAGGAAGATGAATTAACAGTTTGGTCTGGTGTTGCAGAGGGTGGAGACAGCAGCAGCAGTTGGGGAAAATGCTTGACAGCCTGAACTTTGTAGTGCACAATGAACTCATTCTTTTGGTAGTTGAGTAACCTCCAAATTCTCACCATAAAAGGGTGAGCACTAAACCTCAACGCATAAAGACAACACAAAATGCTACTCCAATTCCAAAACTTCACAACCCTATCAATCCATCCCTTTCAAAACTTCGCTGATCATGTTGCATCTTTGAAGATCAGTAAAGCTCGAGAAGTGAGTAAGCGATTTATAAATCAAGTAGTTGAGAGTATATTATATCATATTTGTAGTTGAAATCCCGATTGCATTTAAAAGTGGATACGACATTCTTTCACAAAAATATTTATTTTTGAAAATTGAGCATGAAATATGTTTTATGAGATGAAATTGACATAATTTGAAGTCTCAAACTGTAAATTAATAAATAAAATCATTGACATAGAAGTTCTCTTCTTATTTGTGTTGCTTGGTAGAGGGAATTGGTACATTTTTCCCTCATGGCATGCCTTAACATGCAATCCTATTGAAAAAGAGTGACAAATCCAATTGGACCCAATGTGGTGATTTCCCAAAATTATGAAACCTTCACATCATAAAAGTAATCAAGGGAATGCCCAGTTTGATTTATGTACACGAGTACATTATTATAACGATATTTCAAATTATCAAATACAATACTCTATATTTTAACACATAATTACCACTACAATGATCTATTTGTTATAAACATCTCTCTTCTAAAACACGAGAAAGACTTCTTTACACCTCCCCATACGCTATGTTAGGATATCAAGTGTTGGTAAATTCATAAGTTCATTCTCTATAAGGATTTTTAGCTGAAATGATCTTTGAGATTGTCATAACTCTTCACCTTGATCTTTAAGATTTTAAGTCGATAGAACTAATCCCTGAATTTATCAATCATCAATCATTTTGGTCATTTCATGTAAAATCTTTGTTAAATAAGAATAAAATGATAAAAATACTCTCAATTTTTGTTATATCATTTTGGCCTATTCTTTATTAAATTGAAGATATGTTTGTCATTTTGGTCCTTACTTAACGAAAATTTTCCAGGCAATGACCAAAATGATCAATAGTAGACAAACTCATGGACTGTTTCTATCGATTTTAAATCTCAAAGACCAAAGTGATAAGTTACATCAATCTCCGAGACCATTTTGAATAATAATAAAAAAAAAAAATCCTTCTCTAAAATTAGAAAGCAACATGCATAAAATGAGTTCAACTCTGATTTTTCATGAAACATCTCAATCTAATAATGCAATGTAATTTAAGAAAAATAAAGGGCAAAGAAAGTTGAGTCCTTGTCACAACCAAGCAATCTGCACCACACCACTTCTGTCACATTTTCTTTATTTATTACACCACCCACCTTTCACCAACTATTTAATTGCCTTTATAGCTTTTTTGCCTCCACTTTTTCTGTTTATTCACTATCCACACCCAACTCTCATCTCACTTTTTCACTCAGCTCAGCTGTGCCTTCTGTTTATGGCAGCAAGCAACTTTGCAAATTAAACCCTACGCACCAGAAAATTACAATTACCCCTGCATGCCAACAATGCCCGACAATGTTTTGCACGATCCATAATCCGACACGAAAATAAAAAGTTTCAGTTAACTTGTTAACCTGACACGAAGCTACACAATAATAATAGGTTTAGGTCAACCCGTTAATGAGTTGGGTCATTATCGGGTCACCTGTTTAGAATCCGTTAACGATTTGGACGTTAAAAACCCATTAAGATAATGGGTATGATATGTAACGACATGAACACAACTTGTTTGTCCAGTCTAGACCTTAGGTAGGCATGACAATTTCTTGCATGATCAATTAATTCGACACGAAAAGACACAGGCTATTAACGAGTTGAGTCGTTATCAGGTCACCTATTGAGAATCCATTAAGATAACAAGTTAACTCGACACAATCCATTAAAATAACGGATATGACATGAAAACAACACATATTTTCAATTGATTTATCCTTTCAATTGGTTGGTATTTTTGTTTATCTTCGTACCTTTCAAAAATTGAAACTTAGGGAAGTGCTTTAGAAACATATGTATAAAAAGAACATATTTCATCTATCTCTTTCATGCCAAACATTACAAATAAACATGGTATTAAAATGGCAAATAAACATAAATGTTGATGTACAAGGCATGTTTTTATTTATTTATTAATTTAGTTTATGATTATGTTATCAACTGCCAGTCTAAAAGAGGGTGAATCATTGATTTAGGTAATCTGCATTATTGCTTATTTAATTAAGTTTGAACAAGTGCAAACAATGCAAAAAAAATGAGATCAAGATACCAAAATCCTAATCGAATTGCTAGGGGTCGAGTTTTATTATCCAGCTCCGCATGATTTTTATAATCTTGTTTATTTCGAAAATTTTGATTTTAATTTATTCAATGAATCGGAAAATTTGAATATAAAAATTAAATAATTTAAATACACCATTTTTGTTCTTTATGCAAACGCTTATTTATTTCTGATGTTTGAATCGAGTAAAGTGAAGAATTAAAAGACAATTTATAACATATGCCTGCGTTGCAGAAACAATTTTACCTGAAAAATGTTAGCAGCAACATATCATAACCGTAATTTCACACAGTTTTTCGGTCACATTCTGCTCCGTCGACGGTTACCGCCACTTGTGCCTTCCCGGTCATAAAGCGCCACCCGTAACGACGACTGGGCGTGTTCCACGTCGGACACCGTACACCCTTCAGGATCCCAACACGTGTCAAACACGTAATAAATAGGCAGGATGATCTTGAAAATCCTTAAATAGTATACGATCATCATATACCATCCGGTCAATTTTCGTCAAGTACTATTTATATTTAATTTAAAATAATTTCTGATCACATGATGTATGATGAACAAACATAATTTAAGAATCTTCGTAATCCCCACAAAAAAAATCCTTATTCATAAATAAGTCCCCATCTACCAGGCCGGTCCCGCCCTGCTCTGCCGTTAATGAGAAAATTTTTCTCTTTTCAGAAGCTCATTAGACTTTATACACTACGTAGTCACAGACACACACAGAAGAGAGAGAGAGAGATAGAGAGAGGGGAGAGAGAGAGAGAGAGAGAGAGAGAGAGAGTGAAGCTCTCAAGAAAGTTCCCTGAATACTCAAAGCCTTCAGCTTTGTCAAAACCCTAATTCTCCTCCTCCGTCGCCGGAGCTTTTCCCGCTGCAAATTCCGGCGTGTTTCCCCACCATTGCAGCATTCCCGGGCTGATATTCGAAAACTCCAGCATCGGCATTTGACGGTTCTCATATCGAACAAGCTCGGAGCTTCTTCTTTGACTTTTGTTGACTGTTCGAGCTCTGTAGCTCTACTGTGCTTCACTCGGGAGCGGTTAATTTCTGGGGTTTTTGGCTGTGAATTTTTCCCATTTCACGCCCTCTTTCGGTTTATTGGGCTTCTTACCGGCAAACAGTGCCGTTTTCCGGAGCACTTTCACCCATAAATCTAGCCGTTGGAGAAAGTTGTCTTCTTTCTTTTAGTTTTGAGCTCTCTGGTTTTTATGTCGTTCTAGTGGGGGGCCCTTGAGTACCGAACAATGCGACCCTTTTCAGGCATGAAAACGCTGCTCCTCCTATTCGCCGTCGTTGTTTTGTGTCCGGTTCTTGCGAGATCTCTGAACCCGTCTCTGAACGACGACGTGTTGGGGCTGATAGTGTTCAAGGCGAATATCCAAGATCCTAAGGGAAAGTTAGCGTCTTGGAGCGAAGACGACGACAGTGCTTGCAGTTGGGTCGGGGTAAAATGCCACCCGAGATCCAACCGGGTCATCGAGCTCAACCTCGACGACTTCTCGCTTTCGGGTCACATCGGGCGCGGCCTTCTGCAACTGCAAGCGCTCCGGAAGCTCTCGCTTTCGAAGAACAATCTCATCGGAAGCTTAACGCCTAACATTGCTCACATCGACAACCTCCGAGTTCTCGATTTGAGTGAGAACAGTTTCTCCGGTGATGTTCCAGAAGAGTTTTTCCGGCAATGTGGGTCACTGAGAGTGATTTCTCTGGCGAAAAACAAGTTTTCCGGGAAAATTCCAGAGAGTTTGGGCTCGTGTCCGAGTCTAGCATCTGTTAACTTGTCGTTGAACCAGTTTTCGGGTTCGGTTCCGGCTGGGGTTTGGTCCTTGAGTGGGATTAGATCACTGGATTTGTCTGATAACTTGTTGGAGGGTGGAATTCCAAAGGGGGTTGAAGGATTGAATAATTTGCGAGGAATTAATTTGGCCAGGAATCGGTTTACTGGGCAAGTTCCAGATGGAATTGGAAACTGGTTGCTCTTGAGGTCCATTGATCTGAGCGAGAATTCGTTCTCGGGTAACCTCCCTCAGACAATGCAGAAACTTGGCTTGTGCAGCTATCTGAATTTGCACCAGAACACATTTTCCGGTGAGGTTCCGGAGTGGATTGGAGAGATGAAGAGCCTGGAGACTTTGGACCTTTCTAGCAACCGATTTTTGGGTGAAGTTCCAAGCTCAATAGGCAATCTTGAGTCTTTGAAAGTATTGAATTTTTCTGCAAATGGGTTCACTGGTAGCTTGCCAAAGTCTCTGTCTTATTGCACAAACCTTCTGGGTTTAGATTTTAGCAAGAATTCGATGGCGGGTGAGCTTCCTGTGTGGATATTCGCGGCAGGTACAGAGGAAGTTTCACTTTCAGAGAAAAAACCAAGTGGAAGCAAGAACATCCCTCTATCTTCATCAGCTGGAAATGCACTAAAGAATCTCCAAGTCTTGGATTTATCCCTTAATCATTTTTCGGGTGAAATTACGTCTGACATTGGGGCCTTAAGCAGCTTGCACGTTTTGAACCTCTCTGGTAACTCTCTTGCTGGTCCTATTCCTGTGGCCATTGGAGACTTGAAGGTCCTGGACAATCTCGACTTGAGCGAGAATCGGCTCAATGGAACCATTCCAACTTCAATCGAGAACTGTTCTTCTCTAACCACTTTGTAAGTTCCCTTTGCTCTCTTACATTTCATTTTCGTGTCCTAATTTTTCTTAATCTTTAAGGGTAGTAACTTGTTAATTTTAGAAATCCTCTGCACTTACTTAATCAAGATATGAGAATGATTTTACGCACGAATCGTGTTTGGCTCATCACGAATCGTGTTTACCTTAATCCTAGTATGTTTTTCTGTTGTTTGAGATTCTTTGACAATTTATTTGTTGGTTTTTGATGTATTGGTTTTGGTTGAATTCTCCAGAATTGTATCACAGAACAGACTGACTGGTCCAATACCTGCGGCAATGTCCAAACTTACCAACTTACAAAATGTGGACTTGTCTTTCAATAGCCTCACAGGAGGACTGCCGAAGCAGTTAGCCAATCTTCCCAACCTTCTTTCCTTCAAAATTTCCCACAACAACCTCCAGGGTGAACTACCTGCGGGTGCCTTTTTCAACACCATCTCCCCTTCCTCCGTCTCTGGAAATCCATCTCTCTGTGGTTCTGCAGTTAACAAGTCTTGCCCGGGAGTCCTTCCCAAACCCATTGTCCTCAATCCCAATTCCTCTTCTGACTCCAGCACAGGAGAAATCTCATCAAATCTTGGTCATCGAAGAATCTTACTCAGTATTTCTTCGCTTATTGCCATTGCTGCAGCCGCTGTCATTGTCATTGGTGTAATTGCCATTACTGTGCTTAATCTCCGTGTCCGGTCTTCCTCTTCCACAACTCAACCGGCGGCAGCCCTCGCATTTTCAGGTGGGGATGACTTCAGCCATTCCCCTACAACAGATGGAAACTCTGGCAAGCTTGTCATGTTCTCAGGTGAGCCTGACTTCAGCACCAGCGCACATGCACTGCTCAACAAGGACTGTGAGCTTGGGCGAGGTGGGTTTGGAGCAGTCTACCGGACTGTTCTTCGAGATGGACGACCAGTTGCAATCAAGAAGCTCACTGTTTCTAGTCTTGTCAAATCTCAAGGAGAATTTGAAAGGGAAGTGAAGAAATTGGGGAAAGTGAGGCACGATAATCTTGTGGAGATCGAAGGCTATTACTGGACTCCATCATTACAGCTCATCATATACGAATATGTTGCCGGTGGTAGTTTATACAAGCATCTTCATGATGGAGCAGGTGGAAACTTCCTGTCGTGGAATGACCGGTTCAACATAATTCTTGGAACTGCAAAAAGTTTGGCTCATTTGCACCAGATGAACATAATTCACTACAATATAAAGTCCAGCAATGTCCTGATTGGCAGCTCAGGCGAACCCAAAGTGGGAGACTTTGGCCTGGCTAGGTTGTTGCCAATGCTTGACCGATATGTTCTGAGTAGCAAGATTCAGAGCGCCCTTGGCTACATGGCACCAGAGTTTGCTTGCAAAACGGTAAAGATAACCGAGAAATGTGATGTGTACGGGTTTGGGATTTTGGTTCTAGAGATTGTCACCGGGAAAAGACCTGTCGAGTACATGGAAGATGATGTTGTGGTGCTTTGTGACATGGTGAGAGAAGCACTGGAAGAAGGCAGGGTAGAAGAATGTGTTGATGCTCGGCTCCAAGGAATTTTCCCAGCAGAAGAGGCTATACCTGTGATGAAACTAGGCTTGATATGCACGTCACAAGTGCCATCAAACAGACCAGACATGGGGGAGGTCGTCAACATTTTGGAGCTGATCCGATGTCCTTCCGAAGGCCAAGAGGAGTTGTGATGGATTAAACTAATCTTAACAGATTTTCAGTGAAGGGATTCGCAACAAGTTATCCGGCACAGAAGAATCCAGTTTGTTCGTTCCATCGAGGGAGAAGGAAATTTTAATTGTTGGTTTTTCTTTTTCTGCATTGTTGTATTTGTTATCCTTCTGTTGTGGATTTCTTGTGTTACATTTCTGTAGTTTCTCCTCCATGCTACAAGTAGCTAGGTCACCAGATTCTCCTTTGCCGGATTCCGATTCGAGTCCCGGTCAGAAATTGTCATGACTAATCTTATGAACTCTTCCAATTTCTCTTTGTTCATGTTTCTTACCAGAGCTGATTGTATTTGTTAACTTCTAAATGCTTGGAAAGTTTTGCAACATTTCACTGATCCTACATTTTAGTTTGTCTGATTGTTATCGACGTGAATGTCATTTTAACGGTATTTCAAGCTTTAAGCGAATTACGTTGTAGACAAAGTTAAAACAAATTACGTTGTAAGAAAAAATTAAAATACACGACAAAATACAGTTTTATTGAAATACCGGCACAGTGGCACCCGTCTAGGGCAGAATTGACTTCCCAAGACACGTATGGGAAGGGGGGTTTGTTGTTATTCTCGCCCCATGTGTGTCCCAATGATGGGATATAAAATACAATTTCAAGAAGTCAAAAGTGAGTCGAGAGGCCTGAGACCAGAGAATCTTAGTGCCCACTTTAAAGGCAAATAAATTTAAAGAGCTCGGTAGAATACTGCAAAAGGGAGAAAAAACCAAAGTGGTAGGGCATATACAATTGTACGTTTATATATTATATATATGTATATATATAGATTATATATATATATATATATATAGATTAGGGAGCTCCCTGTCGGAATAGAAGCTATGTTTTTATATTTTACCACCCATTTATCTATATTATATTTATCTGCAGTAGCTATTTGTTTATTCCTCTTTAACTCCCGAATGTTTTCTTTCCAATGAATCGATGGTAACTTGCATAGATTTCCCCTCCTCTTGGGTAAAATTTCAATTAGACCGTCTAACCAGCTGAATGGTTAGACTAATTAATAAAACGAGAATTCGTTATTAATTATCTATTATGTAAACTTTCATTAATAAGTATATGGACGGTTTGATAACAGAAAAGAGATCATCTTCAAATCTCTTTCACCAAGACCACCAGATCAAGTAATCTGGACATTTGAAGCCCACATGTTTTAACACTTTAAAAGTTAAAATAATTTTTTGCCGTTAGATGAAATTTCAAAAGTTCAGATCACTTGATCTGATGGCCTTGATGAAAGAGATCCGGAGATGATCTTTTCTCTTGATAACATATCAATATGCTTGTCATTATCAAATAATCAGAAAAACGGTCTAACTCATCTTTCTCTCTCCTCTAGCCAAAGGCACAATAAACTTTTTTAATGCGTTGAGAACAAAGTTGAGTACACCATAAGTCATAATACAAGAAGTTATAAATTTTTTCTTTTAAACATCCAATCATTTATTTTATATTCGTTTGTATACGAAACTATATGTAAGAAAATATCTCCAAAAGCACAATAAAAAATGCGGCACTCCTAACAACTACAACGCCCATATTTGGTAAAGGTAGTCAAAGAATATAATAAATTTGCATAGCCATGCCATGTGCATAGACTTTGAGCAAATGCCAATGCCAATGAGTTGTCCCTAGCCATTAGCTAATGCTTTCAGCCAAATAAATATATGGTTTTGGGCCCAAGAGATTAATTAAATTAAATTATAAATACATTGGCATTTGAATTGCTCATGGCTCCTTCATAAATTATATGATTTTCTTTGGATTTGGATGACTATTGCAGGTCAAAGAAACAAGGATCAAATGCCCTAATTTTTTATTTATTTTTAATCATATAAATATTATTAGTGCGTGTTCAAGAAGCAATCTGTATTATAACCGGTTGGTTATTTCATTTTGTCTATTTATCTCATTATTAGAATGGAGAATGAGATGTAAAATCGGAAAGAGATTCTTCTATTCGGAAGTGTTTCTTGAAAAATTAATCTACTTTCTAACCGTTTGTACATCCTCTTTTATCGATTTTTTGCTTGTTAATTATCACAATGTTTATTTCCATGTAACGTTGAAAGTGAAGAAACCCACTACCTTTGATAGGACCAAAACATGAGCATTAAGCCCAAGAAGTGCTGTGGCATGGGCAGTCGGTCAAGGTCAAGACTTTGCTTTCACAATTCAAGTACTTCTAAATGCTTGGGAGGACTATTCAAATTACATAACTCATGGAAAAGCACTTAAACGAAAAGCTGTAAAAAGCTGCTTCTTTCTGCTTTCATTGTTTGGAGATAATAAAGAAATCTGCTTTTTTGTTTGGTAGTTTTCTTTGTTCATGCTTTTGCTTTGGTGAGGAGCAACAACATGATGTCCTCGTAAAACTAAAAGTCTCTAGCTTTTGGTCTCACAGCAGTTGAAACTGGAGCCTGTTGCTGCTGGGTTGCCTTGCCTTGATGGTAGGGGCACCACCTTCTATCACCTACCAACACATGCCCTTTAACTCTACCTGAGTAAGTTTATCTTACATTGCCGATTCCAAGCTCAAATAAAGAAGGAAGGGAAGGACGTCAGGTAATCGACAGCCGGCACTCCTATTCTACGTCGAATCCTTATGATAATGTTGTTTGATTTCATATTTCATATCGTCCAAGTGGTACATTATTTGTTTTATCGTATGAGGTGGTGCATTGCCTTTTCGGAATTGTGCATTACACTCAACACGATATTACCAATCGAAGTATCAACACTACCGCTTTAAACACCAACATTACTATTTTTCTCGCAATGTGTTTGTGTTTAGTGCAAACACATACTGAAGAAAAATTAGTGTACCCCAGCAAAGTAGGACGCAATTCTTTTGCAGAAATAAGAGCTTCAAAGAAATAAAACAAGGGTTTAGGAGGTGAGAAGTATATCAGACCAAATGCTTCAACTGCGATTAATTTGATCTCGGAAGCTCGAATTCTCGAAAGTGTGCTCAAGGTGCTTACTAAAACCATGAAAGGTAAGGTTATCTTCAACCAAAGGAGGGCCAAGGGCTCCTTTAGCCCTATAGTCCTGCAAGAAATTATATTTTAATGAACAATGCTCGACCATATTTTATATCATTTCCAATCAAGGGGGTCAAAGACCATAGGCCAAACATAATTTATTATTTTAATTAAATTAATATGGTTAATTAAATTAAACTACAATATTAAAATAAGGTTTTCAAACATATTTTAAGTGTCACTTGTCGCCAAATGTATAAGCTTTCAGATTTCTTATCTTTATATAATCTAAATAATTTTTTGAATAGAATTTTGAGTAACACGTGTCGCTCATGTGAGTAACTCTCTAGATTTCTTATCTTTATGAAATCTCAACAATTTTTCGGATAGGATTTCAAGTGACACGTGTCGCTAAAGCGAGTAACTCTCCAGATTTCTTATCCTTATGTAATCTTAATAATTTTTCGGATAGGATTTCGAGTGCCACGTGTTGAGATGTAATTGGTTGTGCAAATTTTAGATATGATTCTTATCTACGTGGTATTTCTTATCTTCAACTTTCAATGTTGTAGCAATGGTGTAGGTATTTATACGGAAAAAATAGATTTTTTTTTTAAATTCGTCCAAAAAAAAAAAAAATCAAATTCCAACGGTAACCTGACGGCAACATAACGTTAGCTAGTCGTTGCTAGCTAGCGTCATGCTGATGTCAAATAGTCGTTGGCATTCAAATAAGCTGAGTTGGAGGGTTGGCAAAATGTCAAGCTTGACATTCTGGAGCTGGAGGGTTGGCAAAATGTTAAGTTAGACATTCTAGCGTTGGAGGGCTGGTTGGCTGGCTATCTAGAAATGGCTAGCCCATTAGCCTGATTTGGGGGTTTGGGCCCGGTGGGGCCCACAAGTCTTTTGCCCTAACCCTCGGTTGAACACAGCTTTCGTGTCATTTGAAACTATTTTTAGCCCTATGACCCTTTGACCAAGTCGGTTGGAGATGGCCTAAGAATTCAAGCCATATTTTCACCAAGATCATGAAGGTTATCAGTTAAAGAGAGTGATCAGTTTACCAGAACATGTACCAAACTAATCTGATCCTGAACGTGTCTTGTTAAGAAAACTAAATCCGAAAAGAACATCATGATTACTGCACACACAAACCATTCATAAACATTCAAATGATCGCTTTCGCGATGGAGTTCAGAGGCAACACAACAATTTGAGAATAAACATTGGAAATGTAGTTGAAGCAAACTTTCATTTACAGGATTGCCTCCAGCTGATCTTTGATTCTCGAACGATTTTCATCATTTTTTTTTTAATTTGGTTAATCAGCTGGTTTGGTTTGATCCAGTAACTTATAAACGAGCATGCATTGCGCTCATCTTTCACACACGATAAAAATCCGATCATTCCCGATAAATGAAGAGAAACCAATGTGAGGATGTGAAGAACTGTCCCATCCCACGTTGAAAAATAAAGAGATTGTGGAGTCACTGATGGGGAAAATTGACACATATTTGACCATTGCATCTTAACCATTGAAACTAAGGTTAAATTGCAGCAAACAGACCCACAGTAAAACCACAAATTAACTCCAAAAGCAGTTGCATTTCTTTTCACCTTTACCAGAACTGGTTCTAAAAACTTAAACCCCTTACCTCAAATTTGCAAAATACTCATAACTTACCACATTCGAAGGAAATAAAAATGAAAATCATAAAACGCTCATTCGTTAAATTCACGTAATGAAAGAGATAGAGTGAGTGAAATATAACCCCGTAACATCTAAGAACTTTCCAGCTCATTCATTTCAGTGTCAACGTCAATGTCAATGTGGATTTTATGTACTTGTTTTGGTTTGTATGTGTGTCGGTTTCCTTGTCTTCTCCATCTTCCTCAATCCTCGTCAATGTCTTTAGTCCCCCCAAAGCTCTGTCCTTTGTTGTCTCATAACACAAACACCATTGCCACCTCATTCATTCGACGTTGTTCCAAGATGACATGGCCAGCTGCTCCAAATGCTTAACCATCTCCAAGAAGGAGAGTTCTAATTCTGAAGAAAATTCATATGATTTTGTAATTTCCCAATTTTACTGTGTTCCGAATTACAATTAAAATTTTGAGCTTTAAGTCCTTCACCTTTTCTAATTTCCACCTGAGCTCCCCAAATCTTAGAACCTTTCCACTTTTTCACTTTCCCCCTAAATTCCATGTAAGTGAGAGTAAACACTCTCTAGAGTGTCTTTTTCCCACCCAAATCAGTCTCCTAAAACCCTAATTCACTTTCCCCAAACCCTCCAAAAGCAGTTGAATTTCCCCTAATTTCAGTCCCCAAATCATGCCCAATTCCCCAAATTAGGGTTTCCAGTTCCCCAATTCCCCCAATTCCCCCAACCCCAAGGATGTCCTCCGAAGAATTGGGTCTGGTTTCGACCCAGAACGGGCTCAACTCTCCAATCGTGTTCCAAGACGAGAACTTGCGATTCAATTGCGGAGCTCCACCGCAGCGCCGGGTCGGGGACACGGGTCCCAAGACCCGCGAGCTCACCGGGTTCATCGACGACCGGTTCTTCGCGCCACAGAGCTCGGACTTCCGGCGGAGCATTTATAGCGAGAACTTGGATCGGCGGGACCCGCCCGAGCCGCGAAACTGGAACTCGAACGGAGCTGATACGACGCCGAGTGGCGAGGGATCGGACGAGGACGACGATGACGAGGACGACGACGACGAAGACGTGGACGACGATGATGAAGGTGATGGCGGGCTTGTCGGAGTGGAGAGCAGAAACAAGGGCATTGCCGGTAATAATGGGAGTAATGGGGAGGACAAAATGGGAAATGGGAAGGTTAAGCATCATCAGCAGCAGCACCTTTCTTCTTTTGGTAAGAGATTTTTGTGTAAAGTTTTGATCGTTTCATAAATTAGTTTCTAATTTTGGAAACCTTTGTCGAATGTTTGATTTTTGGAATGTTGTTTTTTGTTTTTTATGTTAATTTTAAGGTGGGACTGTGATAGTAGGATCAAGTAGAGAAGTGTTGGTGAAAGAACATAGTGCTGGACAGCAAACAGTGAATAACAACACAAGGGCTAGTCCCAGCAGTAATGCGCAGCAAGGAAGACTGGGGAATTACCACAATGCCGTCACGGTTGCTGAACCGGATGGCGACATGTATTATTCGCAGTATTTGCAGGGCTCTGACGGGTCTGGTTCTGCTCCGAAGGATTTGGTTGTGGAAAATGGTTGTGGTCTTAGTGGAAGAAAGGATGTTATGTACTCGAGCGATTCTGGAGAATCTTTGAGGGCCATTCTCTCTGATCCTGTGACGTGAGTTTTGTTTTTTCATATACTGGTTTTGCATTTGATTCATCTGAGTTTTAGAATTTGTGACTGAGTCTTTGAGGTGTGTTGAATTTCAGGGGAGCTCTGATGGACGACGCAATGATATTGCCTTGTGGACATTCCTTTGGAGGTGGTGGAATTCAGCATGTTATTAGAATGGTGAGTTCCTCGGAGTAGGACACACATTTTTCTCTCATATATAGGTGTGATCGTTTCTGTTTGCTTTGACAATATTTGGACGATCCTACACAAAAAAACATATATATTTCTCAAACATCATTGCTTTCTTGCTAGGAATTTTAACTTTCGTCACAACCTCTAAAGCTAGACCACAAGCTAACATATGTTCTCTGCTGTATTTTGGCTGTGTATGTGCATATGGTTCTACATCAAATCTAATAACATGCATAATTACAATCTCGGGTTAAACTTTGAAACAAAGATAGTCACGGCCCACAGTATTGTCGTTGCTTTGATTGTTTTCCTTTCTTCAGGGTGTCAACATGTTATCATATATGCATGTCATTAACTGTTTTCCGTGGAGGATGCATAATCATAATCATACAGTGATTAAATGGTGTGGCTTCATAATCATACAGTGGAGGATGCATTGAGGAGCATCCATGGATACCTTGGGTGCTGACCCTCCGAACTTCGGTGAATGTCCATGGATTCCTTGGGTGCTGCCCTTTTGAATATTAGAGTTGGCTTCATAAAAGGCCTCCAACTGTTTGATAAAATGTTTGAAAGAAGAGTGAATGAAATGGTGATCTTAGTGAATAACAAAGCATCCACAAACATATTAATGGGATGAAATGATATCAAACATTGTTAGTGTGTTCAAGATAAGTGTGTTTCTTTGTTAATCATTCATATGGAAGCAGTCTTGGAACATGTTAGTTACCCTCGCAAATGAGCATTAACAGGTTTGCAATATGCCTTTCCAAATGACTTGCCTACCAAGACTCGATAAAATGGCGATATGCATGCTATTTCTGGTAAAAAAAAAATTTGCGTGCTGCACGCACTATTCTAACATTATTTCCTAGATCCGCCACTGTAATCATATGTTTTTGCATTCACTATTTTGAACCTTTTGCTTACAAAGTATATCTGGTACATGCATGTGGGATTCTATGAACCAATAAAAAGTTTTGCCCTATCACTTGCAAATTTTTGTTTCGTTTTAATTGTCAATTTGAAGTTTTATTTTCTTTCATAATTTCCAGAAAGCTTGCTACACCTGTTCTCAGTCAATTTCAGAAGACTTAATTGCTCCAAATCTTTGTAAGTAAAAGTTTCTCATTGATGGTTTATAATCCCTTACCATGTCAAAATATATCTCTTTCTGACGAACTGTAACTGAAATTATATTGCTTGCACATCGTCAATGTAATGGAATGAGCAGCACATCATTTTCCGATTTCCTGGTTTTGTTTGTTACATGCTGAACTTCTCCATGCCAAAGTAGCATCAGTAGCCTGAAAAAAAGGAATTAATGTTAATGCGCTAGGAATCCATGGTGTAATATTCTCTGACGTAAACATCATTTAGTAAAACTCCAGTGTAGGAAAAATGTGGAAAAATTGAAATCTCAAAGAGAGAGATGGAATCAGAAACGTTGGAGTAAAATACCTAGGGATCATCAAGTGTCTTAGAAATAGAAAAACATTGACGTTTTAAGTGGAAAGATCAGGTTTTGGGGATCCTGTAGATGAAGAAAAAGGATGAAAGAATAACTGTCAGATGACAAACTATACAACATTTATTTGTTTTAGAAATCATTCTAGTATAACAGTTTTGTCTCACACGTGCAGCTCTTCGAGCTGCTGTGCAGGCATTCCGTCGGGAAGAAGAGTTACAGTTTTATCGCTCATCCAAAAGAAGAAGAGAAAGGTTTGACCAGGTTTGTCTTTTTTCATGATTCAGAAACGGTTGCATCATTAGGTTTAAAAAAAAACTGAGGAAAAGATTATCAAAACCTCGAAACCAAGTCTTTATTTTCTCATGTAGGAAAAGGTGGTGGTGGTGATTTAGTTTTCATGGATTCTCCAAGGGGTAGAGGTGTTCAGTTTCCGTTCGCTGTGACTGACAGAGTTATTATAAAGGTTAGCAGACTAAAGTCCCAATCTTGGCTCTCGTTCTTGTTCCATTGTTTGTTCGAACCAATAATTGGAGTGATATTGTCACAGGGGAACAAGAGGACACCACAACGCTTCGTTGGACGCGAGGCTATTGTGACAACACAATGCTTAAACGGATGGTTAGTCATATTTCTAATTTTATTCCACCTTAATGATATATATTGCTTGCCTTACATGCCTTTGTCAAATGAGATGCCGGCTTAGATTTGTTTTAATGTATACAAATTGCTTCAACAGGTATGTGGTAAAGACGTTGGATAACGCAGAGAGCGTGAAATTGCAGTATCGCTCCCTTGCCAAGGTAGCCGACGACCCAACGTCCAAGCCAATGTCAAGCAAGATGGCACCTAACTGGCTGTAGGCCATACTACTTCGTCGGCAATATGCCACGCTATAACTAACTTGGTTGTTTAAGAAGTTTCTGCCTCTGTTTAAGTTGTATTTTATCACGAGCAAACATGGTGACATTCCGCGTTGTAAATTATAGAAGCCATGTCACAACTTCTTCGACGAAAGCCCCTACAAATGTGAATTTAGATTGTACAAAATTATGTATCTATATGTCTTTATGTTGAGCAATGTTGTATTTGAATCCTGTGTAAACCTTTGAAGGTTGATATTCCATTCTTTGCTTATATGCCCCTTGCATCTTGCCCAAAGTCACACTTCGCTTTTCATTTTGTGTTTAATGTGATCTCATTTCGTCAAATTGGTCAGGAAAATCGTTAATTTGGCTAATTTGGAATTTGACGTTTTGTTCAAAACAAGGCATTTCTTTTTGTTTTTGCTCGTTCCACAACAACCAAGTTTAACTCTTTTCTTGATCAATTAACATGTCTGCGAAGCCACTCCCTCCAATTGAGAACTTACATAGCATGGGAACATAGTCAAGTGGCGTCCTGTGCCAATAAAACAAGAACATGTAGACAAAAACTTACTTGTCGTCACTTCATTGTTATCTAATAAAACCGCCAAATGTTCCAAACGGATTTAGCATTCAAATGTTCAAAAGATGCTGGGAATCGACAACTCATTGTTAGCCAAAATCAAAGTGATAAATCTCAAGAAAAAAGCCAGCAGATTACATGTTAATGTTACAGACTCAAACACTTAATGAACATAGCCTCAAGAACCTATTCTACTTAATTAGACAAAGATTGAAGGAAGGACTGCAGTCCTGAACAAGATCAGAAACACGGCATGTTTGTCGACAACAGGAAGTTGCACGTCGAGTAAATGGAAGCTGCAGCAGCCCTAACAGTTAATGCCTTTTCTGAGTTATCCAACATCAGTGGTCTGCAAGACAAACAAAAAGAAATATGATAAGATTACAGCATTTGCTTTAGTTGAAAAAATTGAATTACAATCTGACTCTAAGCAACTTTTGAGAAGAATTCTGCTTAGATTTATGAAAGCAAAAGTTTACCTGGCATCATTTTCAGATGTTCCGAAATGTTGAATGCCGGAAGCAGCATTCCATTGGACCAGTTGCAAGCCCTGGTCACAGTGAAGCTGCATTTCTTTTACTTGGTTCGACCAACTTTCCTGAAATTTATTACCAGTACGTTCTGTAAGGAAATGCGTGCAATAAACAAGCTATGAAATGAATTCAAGGTTTCTTTTCGAGCACTCACAAGTTGTTCCTCTTCCTCAGAAAGTGCTTTGTCCATTTGCTCAAACAGCGGAATCCACCTTGCTCTATGCATATCTGCAATAGCACATCTAGAAAATCCATGGGCGGAAGTTTTCATGATCTGAGAATTATTCTCCTGATCTGGTGAAAATTCTTTTGCCAGCAAAGATGGCAAATCTGTAGTTATTACATCTCGAACTCTCTTCCTACTGCGCCGCAATGCTGCAGTTACATAATAAATAACAGATAAGAATATGCTCCCTCGACAAGATCCACTAGTGATATAAGAGATAGAGCATTACCTTCAAGACGTCCTTTGACGTCCAGAAGAATAAGTTCCAACCATTGAGAAGCAATGGTAGCAGCTGCAAAAGAATGAAAACTTATATCAAATATCACATTCAACCTTTTTCAACAGTGTATTCATGTATGATCTTCCCTAACCATCACTTAACCACTAACTTATACCACTTGCATGCATTAATAAAGTACAACTAAATTACTGAACATTTAAGATTAAAAAAATGAAGAAATAAAATGACCTTTGATAGAGAGATAGGATGATGTTTCCTCACTAGACAAAGGGCTGTCATCGTCATGCGCCTGCATTGATGATGACAACTTCAATGCTAGCGAATCTTCCTCTCTTTCAGGGATGGAGTGCGATTCAAGACTTTTACCACTAAACCTCTTTGCTGTGGTTCGTTCAACATCTCCACCTTTGTCTACTGGAATCAAAGAAGATTTGTTCATCAATATAGACAGCCCTCTTGTCTGCCAGTCATGACAGACGGTATTTGGAGGCCGATTTTCATGATAGAGATGAATTGCAGAGTCATTCAAATTTCCAATGTCCTGCCCGTTCCCAATTTCAAAAGTTCCACTCTTCGGATGGGTTGTTTGCTTGTTTCCCAGGCGGTCATTTTCAAGTCTTTCTAATTTTACAAGGGACTCTATTATTGAACGGACCTGTTTTCTGTTCCTGACATGGTTGATAATCCCAGGGTTCAGTTCATTGAGCAGTCCACTTGGAGCAGCAACCTTCGCGAACCTGTCCACTTGCTCCCTCTTTGCGCGTTCCATCTTTTTCTTGACCTCGTCATTTTTAGTCTTCTTGGGATGCGGTTTTGGCACCGGTATGCCTCCATGAGTGGATGATAGGAAACCATTTTGCTTCATCTCCTTCCATACTTTCATTGGATCTTTCTCTTCGAGTGGGCCAGTGCAACTCCCACAATCAGAGGCAGCTCTTGGCTTCAAGGAATTGGTGCTTTTATAAGGATAAAATGGATCTTGTTTTTCTGAAGTAGAAACATCCGCTGCATTGAGATCCAATCCAATGCCTTTCGCCTTTTCACATTTACTCTGATCCCTAAGCAAGGTGATCTCAAAACTCTCGGTGCATTGCTGACTGTTGTTTAGAACCGTAGTTTTGCCAATGCACGCACCAGTAGTCAGATCTAGTCTAGAAGCATGATTGACTGGTACTGACAATGTATTTCTCCAAGACTTTCCAGCTTGGGAAGCATCTACACCCAAAGTTATAGGCACCTCAGTAACTTGAGACATCTCATCATCACCAGATTGAAATTGATCACTTGATTCCTTGTTTTTCAACGATGTTGGATTATCGGTCTGAATTCCTGCGGAATAAAGAGTAGGAGTTAAGCAGTGAACCCCAAACCACTCCAAAATGCAAACCCAAAACAACCTCGTTAATGATTTTCAAACACAACTCAATTGCAAATCCCATGAAGCTACTTACTACTTAAAATCTTGGACATCAAAGTCTCAGATAAATCATAACTTTTCAGGGGGTTTCAAATGCATTAAACTCTGACCTGTAAACTGAGTGCAATTTGCACAAGTACTTGTAATTGACCAATTTCTATAGCACGATAAAAGTACATGAAACATTAAAATTTAATAGGTTTAAAAATCAACACTTTAAGCGCCAAATAATTGAAAAATCATTCCTGAAAAGGGAGACAACATTCCACACCAATAGAATCAATACAGCAACAAGAAATTTCTTAAATTTAAGATAAATTACCTTCGGACCGGCACACTGTCTTAAGATCTCGCATTTTCGCCCGTTTGCGAGGTCCCAGCTCACGTTCTCGTCCCATCTCAGTACTGATTCGCTTCTCCCCAGCAATCTAGAACCCAATAAAATGAATCAAAAGCCAGAACACAAATGCCATAAATTTGAACCAAGCGCAGGAATTAAAAAAAAAAAACGCACCTTTGAATCGAATCTATGTATCGGGACTGCCCCGTCGGAAACTCTCCCCGAATCGCATCGATTCTCCATAACCTTCGAACCCAATTCAAAAAACGAAACTTTCAGGGCGACCCTTCTGCAAAAACCACTAAACGTATCTAATGGGCGCGAAAATTTGAAAACTTTCCACCCGGAAACGAAAAGGGTTTGTCACAAAACGACGAGTCTTCGTTCTTCCGAGGAGAAATCAAGAAATGGGAAGCGTGAGGTCGGAGATTTCGATTGGGAGGGAGGTGGGTTTGCTGGGGTTACGGTTTTTGATTGGGGGCGCGCAGGAGGGCAGATCTCCGTCGGACATTTTTATTATTATTTCGATTTCGAGATTATAAAATTTGAATTTTTGCAGGAGAAAAGAGAAGAGCGCGCACTCTCTCGCTACTGAGTTACAAACGTTGTTCGTTTGAAATTGTGATTTGGGAGAAATCTTTTAAGATTAAACAACGGCAAACAACGTGGGGAGTTTTCAAATTCAAACCAGGTTTTGGGATGGAGGGGTTTTTGATTGGCTTGGGCCCAAAGGGGGAAACGTCATGCTTTTCCTTTTCCCACGCGTTCCTTATTAGGGGATTGTTTGGTTGCATGGATAGGTTATAAGTGGTCAAAATTATCGAGAGAGAATCCTCGTCGGGTTCTCTTTGTGAGGATTTCGAAGATCTTCAAATCATATTTATTTATCGTGCATCATACGATCAGTTTTCGTCAAGTACTGTTTATATTCAATTTTAAATAAAAAAATTTACAATGATTTCTGATCGTACGATGCACGATAAATAAATATAATTTGAGCATCTCTGGAATTCTCACAAAGAGAATCCGGCGACAATCCTCACTCAAAATTATTACCCATCTAATTTTGTGCTGGGATCATGGGTTTGTAATAATTAGGACTTTATCTCACATCACACTAAAATCTTGGGTGGTGCTATTTACACACCCATTTTTACCCTCTTACACATAATTTTCATTTTCCAAACATCAAATCAACGAATATCAATAGACAAAATTTAACAAGATTTTCAATATCCGGATATCATATCAAATATATTGAAGAACATCAATGAAAACAAAAATTAACAAGCGTATGTGGAGGTAAAAAAAAGTGAATGGAACTACCCTAAAATCTTATCTCTAATTGTGTATTCATCAACCTTTTTTATGGAAAAGATGCCCATATACTTTAACCGCCAAATCTAATGCGAAAAACCTAAATCTCAATTGCATTCGTCCCTAAGTTCAAATATAATTAAATAATCAAACAAACAAAAACTAAAGGAAATGAGTTTCTACCTTCCCATTAAATTGGTTTCTTCTTGGTATATCATAATCATCATGAACTAAATCATTCAACTTAACATCAATTCATCTCCCTTTTTTACATTTTTGTTTTCTTCTGGAGAGATCAATCAATTTGGTATTAATTTACAATTGTGTTGGAATGGAATGGGAATTAGTTTCACTGGGCCTGGGCCTGCAATAACCAACAATTCTTGAGCTGCGACTGGGCCTTCTCCCTGAAACTGCTGACCCGAACCAAACAGAAATGAGTGCAACCCAAACCCATTCCCAGCCCGAAACCCGGCCCGCTATCCACTTTACTCGTCTTCAACAAGTAACAGGCGGGCGCACTCTCCTCCCCCCTCCCCTGCACCACTAACCCCCACGCCCTCGTGATCGCATCCCCTCCCTCATTGTTACCGCTGCCCTCTCCGTCACCGTTATCATCATCTAATTCTTCCACAAAGATAACGCCGTCCGGGAACGGCGCCACTCCCGCCTCCCATTTCCGTCTGAGCCCGTCCCAATTCTCCTCCTCCACCCGCTTCTCCGTCTCCAGCCTCGGCCTCCCGTCCGTGCTTCTCCCGTACACGTTAACCAACAGCGGTGCTTCCCGGAGATTCTTGACAATCTCCACAACCGACTCCCTCATCCACTCGTCCAACTTCTCATACGCCGCCGCTGCCGCGTCGCTCCCACCGCCTCGTCGCCGTTCCCGCCCCAGCGCCTCCAATCCCGCCCCCGCCATCGCCAGTACCTCACTTCCTCTTTTGCCCCCGCATCCACGTATCATCGAAACAGTCTGTTTGGAAGAAGGACTGCAGATGCAAAGACTGTTCTGACGGCGGTGATCAAGAACGGTGTTGTTATTCCTTCCGAACTGGACTCCCAGCGACGCCATTCGCAATCGCAGAGAAAACGTCGTCGTCCAAACAACTATCAGCGTTTTCTGGAAACGTTTTCTTGCCGCGGACGTCTTTGGAAACGTTTTCTTGCCGCGGACGTCTTTGAATCTGAGTCAGGATTTTGTGGTGGAAGCAGGAGCTGTTACTGTTAAATAGACGGCGAAGAGTGACGGAGTTGGATTCCGAATACAAAACCGACTGCTGTTTTTCTCGTTTCCGAGACCGGTTAGAATTCAAAGAGTCAGTTAATAAAGGAAGACGGCACGAGGCAGCGCGTGTTCGGATGCTTCGTCCCCACGCGGTACACGTGGACCGGGAGTATAAATCCTTGGCGTGGAACATGATCTTTTGATCCGGACCGTTGGTGGTGATGACTTCTGGTCAGATCAAGGGTGTTGGAGTTTTTAAATTGTGGCGTGCACATTTTAGTTATGGATTGAGTGGGATATGAAATAATGGAGGGGGAAGGATGGGTCCCATTTGGCGATGGGAGGACGTGGCACGTGCTGACTCGTGGAAATTGCAAGCAGCGCGGACGCTGGCACAGCCCGGACCGCTCCGTGGAAAGCTCGACCAATGAATCTAGAGAGAATTGACACGTTGGCAGAGCTGTTAGGATTTATATATCCACGTAGACAGAGTAAATCCACCTGGAATTTCGGCGTCTGTTTTGTTGCAAGAGATCGAGTGGATGTGAAGTGTATGCGATTGCAGTCAGCAGGCACCCACATCACATCATCATAGCCTCTCTTTTTCTCCATTGGCTTTAAACTGTACAACCCCAACTTCTTCTATGGCCCATTTTTGTATTTGTAGCGTGATGTTACACGATATTTTGATATACGTGATATATCATGTTTTATTATATAAATAATGAAATATGTGTGTTAAAATATTAATAACTTTAAAAATAAAATTTTCACCATTTACATAAAAACATGTGATATACCATCTATGTTCCCGTCATAATGAAAAATTTCTCGTGATGTTATCGATATATTTGCTGGTCTTTTGTTGAATTATAATTGAATTTTATCAATATATAACGTAGGTTGGAAGTTTTTGGATTGCAAAAATAGCAACGCATGAGAAGTTAGTGTATCATTATTTTATGTTACCTCTTTTAATATATTTCATTTTTGGATATGACATATGGAAGGTCCTATGTTCTATTGGAACAAAACAAAAACAAATAAAAAGAAAAAAGAAAGTTAATATATCAAATAAGGAATGTGATATTCACACACCTGATTTTACTTCTCACACATCTTTTTAATTTTCGACCATTGGATCGGATGAATTGAAGAAGATCAACGAACATAAATTATCAAAAGTTGTGTGAGAAATAAAATAGGATATGTGGATAACACATCCTATCAAATAATTACAACACAAGAAAAGCATGATTAAAAAACAGTACTCAAATATTGAGTATTTGAAACATGAAACTTGAAAGAAGGCTGCATCCTGCATGTGGGTGGTTGTATCAAGGAACTTGGTCAATCCCCTCAAATAAGACCCATACCCCTCGTAGATAAGACCCATACGATGGACTATTGAGGAAGACCTTGAACAAATCAAAGCTCCAGATTATGGTGTACGGAAAGGGATTCATTTTGGGATCCCTTCTACTAAATTCATCCAATCATTTAATTCATACCTTTGAAATTTGATCAAACAACTAAAATTATTATAACTTTTAAAAGACTCCCTGTTCGTAGCCGTTGAATCAAATTTCAAATATCCAGATTGATTAATTTGGTGAAAGCAATCCGGAGATGATCATTTTCCATGGTGTGTGTGGAAGAAAAATGATAACATTTTTTTTTAATTTTCTCACACACTTTTATTTAATTAATTATGCTTGTAATTTATGTTTGATTTATTCAATTTGATACCATAAATAAATAGGAGTACAAGAGAAGCTAAAAATAGTTTATAAAAATCACATATGAGAACATTATTGAACTATATGAAGTTCCAAATAACTTGTAACATGATACTGAAATATAAAATTAGGGGTTTTCATTACAAATGTTTCCTAAAATTGTCCCACTAAGCGGAGTTGGTGTTATCTTAGACTGCGGAAGAGTTAATCTAAAATAACATCAGCTCCATCCTCCGTCAAATTTGTCCTACATTTTCTGAAACTAATATTTAAGTATATAAAAGCTACAACTTGCATATTAATTTTCTTAGAACTTTTGATTCGTAGCATTACAACTAGCGTTTTCTTGCTTGTAGAATCTATTGGTGACATCTATGCTGACAGTCTCAACGTATCCATGTCCACAATCCACGGTGCTCAATTCAGTTGAACCAGACAAAGCACTTCAAGAACCTAAAATTCATTCTGATTAAGTGCAAAATGAGGTGTGGAACCTATGGTAGGCGGCAACAGGGAGGAGGTTATGGCAGAGATAGTGCAGGCTGATATCGATGATGACAGTACTGCTTCTGGTTCATCGAGAAAGAGAGAGCGCGAGTGAACAAATTGGATATGAGTACAAGAAAACTTTTTGCATAACTAGATTAACATCAATGAAGCCTGAATTCCAACTGTAGTAGCAAATTAGGAACAAGAACATGACATGCATCGTTTTAGTTCTATATACATGACTAAGTCTCTTTAACTATAAATACTAGGCCATTTTGAAATTGATATGACATCAGTATCAGGCCAGTGAGACTAAGTAAGACCTTTGACCAAATATTTTTCAACAATCAATTTCACATACTTTTCTACCACATTCAAATTCAAACATTAAGTATTTTTTATACTAAATGTTAGGTCTCAAGTTCCATCTAGTTGGAGACGACCGTGCTGCAAGCTGCAGCTTGCGTAGATTTCATCAGAGCTCTCTGATGCGGTGCTTGGCCCTAATGCGCCCATAATACATGAATTTCCAGTGCTTTGTGAAGCGTCGAGGGTGGAATATCAAGAACGCTTATTCCAAGTCCAGCTTTTCAACTATAAGGAAGAGTTCATCACTATGATAATTAATGTAGCGAATGTTTATGTAGAGGGATTCTTTGCTAATAACCGATATCACCGTTTAGGAGGCGCTTTTTCAAATGTAAATGCTTACCGATCTTTATTTCCCTACACTAAGGAGCTTAATTTTGGCGACATGTATGATGAACAAGAGCATGAGGCGAGAACAAAAAAGCTTAATCTTGAATTAGGACATGTGCAGTTAGATAATGCCATTTCCCAATTGTGCTTTATGAACCATGTTTCCTTTATAGCCGAATCACTTCTTTTGACCATTCAAATGATATCCAAAGAGGTAAGACTTAGTGCAATAAAGCGTCATATCGTTCTCACATAGACACGAGAACAACTTACATACTGACTATTTTGTCGGTTGATGTCTAACAAAATTAAGGATGGCTGTCTCGAGAGATACATGGTGCATGACCATTTGGAACGTTACAAAACTCTATTCAAATTGGAAATAGAGGATAGCAGTATGTCAAAATGGGTAGCTCCCATTCACCTAACCTTATTACATGTCTGGCCTTTATTACGCCACGTAAAAATCCGTGATGCGGCCCAAATACTAATGAGGACTCCAAGCAAATATGTATGACAAAAGTAACAGGATGGATTGCTGGTTTTGATGGCAAATGTCTTGAGGCAAATGATAACTTGACTTCCCCTATTTGTATTTGTCACAATGCAATGACACAAAACCTAACCAACAATGGACCTTCCAAACGTATGGTGAAATAATGTGGAAGGAGAGAGATTATATGAGCATCGCGTAGTAACATCGTCAATATTGTGTTAATAAATCATCATACAAAACCAAAGGCATTGGGTGAATCATCCATTGTCCTAATACCTAGCATCTCACAATCTATTAACACAACATTAACAATAATACTGCCCGATGCCCACACAATATCTATCCTTAAACACTAATTGCCCCATCTGTTTGGAAAGTTCACTATTGGTTGGCTTTCGTGCTATTGTACTGTGACAAATACAAATAAGAGGAGTTGAGTTATCACTTGCCTCAAGTACATTTGCCATCACAACCTGGCAACTCGTCCTATGACTTGTGCTATACACATTTGCTTGGAGTACTCGTTAGTATTTGGGCTGCATCGCATATTTATGTGAAGTAATAAGATCATACGTGTAATATGGTTAGCAAAATGGGTGCTACAAGTTTTGAATTGTTGGTAGTCCCTATTTCTAATATGAATGGGACTTTGGAACGTTTGAAAAGGTCTTGCACCATATATCTCTCGATGGCAGTCGGCCAAATTTTTTTTTTTTTTTTTTTTTGTCATCAACCAACTATATAGTCAGTATGTAAGTTGTTCTCATGCCTATGTGGGAAGCAATATGGCACTCTATTGCAATGAGCCTTACTACTTCAGATATCATCTGAATGATCAAAGGAAATGTCTAGCTATAGTGGAAACATGTTCCACAAATCGCAATTGGAAAATGGCATTGTATAAGGATTAAGCTTTTATGTTTATGCCTCATACTCTAGTTTATCATATTTGCCATTGAAATTAAGCTCCTCATTATAGGGAAATAAAGCTCAATAAGCATTTGCATTTGAAAAAACGTGTCTGAAGTCGCGATACTGGTTCTCAACGAAGAACCCCACCACGTAAACATTCACTACGTGAATTATCATAGTGAAGAACTCTTCGTTGTAGTTAAAAAGATGGACTTAGAAGAAATTTTCTCTATACTCCACCCTTGACGCATCATAAATTACTGAAAATTCATGTACTATCTATGGGCACATTGGAGAGCTCTGATGAAATCTGTGTATGTTGCAGTCTGTAGCACGGCCCCAACTAGAGGGAAGTTAAGACCCTAGTAACATTTAGTATTAAAAAATACTAATGTTGAAACTAAACTTATGCACATCCGTAGACGGAGGCGAGATCTAGTCGTAATCGTAATTGTCTATGATATCCGGCAAAAGGAGAATGAGGTTGATTATGGAAGGTGTGGTTGAATCCGAGAAGACTGCCTACATATATCTAAGGAGGAGAATTAAACCATTGGTGTCGTTCTAAGGACGAATAATGTGAAGTATGCACATTGTGAACCATCCTTAATGAATAGCCTATGAGTGGGTGTTAAGGACATGAGTCTTTGTTAGGCATAGAGATAATATTTGTGTAGTAGTCTTGTAGTGAAGATGAAGAATCCTTAGTTATGAGTGATTAGAGAATCCAAAAAAGTTCCCATATCCAAAGAAGAGTTCCTTTATAAATACTTAGGCTAGAGTATTTATAGAGATCTTGAGAATCTTTGTAGGGAGAGTAATCCCAAAATATCTAGGAGAGAATTTTGGATAGATGTCAAATTGTACTAGGATTGTGATTACATTGCTTAATCCCCAAAATATCCTATTTGACTTGAATTAGGGTTTCTTTACTTGGGTGACAAGTAGATCTTATGACTTATGCCTAGCATGTCAGACTACATTACATGGCTTATGAGCATTATGGTTCTTCTTGCCACCCAAGGTGCCACGTGTCATGGTCCTAGAAAATTATGGTCCCACAATTAGCACTTTCATCATCATGTTTGAATTTGAAAGTAGTCGAAAAATATGTGAATTTGATTATCCTCTAGCTTGGTTGAAGAAGATTTGATCAAGGGCCTAACTTAGTTCGAACATGATTTGGTCTTTTCTTGAGGAAAGTAAAGCCAGATGAGTGATGTGTATTCAATTTGAAAATGACCTAGTATTTATAGGTAAAGAGACTTGGTCATGTATATGGAAACTAAAACCATGCATGTCAGCTTCTTGTTCATGGAAAACCATACATGGAATGTTCTTGATCCTAATGTTCTTGGAAATAAGTAGATCCTATTTGCTCATGCGCGCTCTCTATCTAGGTTAGTCACTATAATTGTATGCTTCCCAAGCTGCAAAAATTCATCCATATTTTTTCTTTCGTAAAAACTGCTATTTGAATTTGTTGACGAAAACGATAACCCAAGATTTGGATTCAGTAACAAAAAGTTATTGGGCAAACTCACTCTTTGAATCGTCCACCTTCACTCGTTAATTCCTTCACCGTAGCACGAACGAGTTTGTCGTGAAAATCCATTTCACGCATCGCATCGATGGCTGCGTCCATTCAGGTGTCCTGCAAATACCAAGTGAAAGTGCAAAATCTGAGAAAACAGCTCCTAAAAATCTCTGAATAAAAACAAGAAGGAAATCAAATGTGAGAAAACAAAACTTATGGAAGAAAAATTGCGGGAAAAGGCGAGAAAGTGTGAGAAAATGAAAGTAGAGGCTGAACCTTTTTGCCTTGTGCTCTTGGACCTAGCCATTGTTGGAGCTCCGCCGCGCCACAATCTGAAGGCACAAATCTGTTTTGTTGCAAGAGATTGCGTGGATGTAAAGTGTATACGAGCTCAAATAAGACTCATATGATGGACTATTGAGAAGGACTTGAACAAATCAAAGCTCTAGATTATAGTCTGTATGCCCTTTATTCAAAAGGATCTCCATTTTTTGGTAAATGCATCCAGCCTCGAATCTAAGACCTCCTATACCCATATAGTTATCGTACTAATTGTTTAACTAAGCAAAGTGCGTGAGGATTTTGGGTTTTGTTTGAAATGTGAAATGGGTTTTGCATTAGGACAGTGAATCCATGGTTATTTATTAAAGATGGTTTTCATACGCTCTTGATCTAACAACTTCTTCAAAAAAGTGGAAGGAGAAGATGTTGAAAATAGGATAAGTTGATTGCTTTTGTTTCTGTGTGCTGAACCTGCTTCCCTTTAGGTTCGGAATCTCATGGATCTTCTTCATCTAGCTCTCAGACTCCAAGCGAAACGTCTCCCATACTGCAGTTGGAGATAGAGTTAGAGACGGAGTTAGTGGCCGTGCACTAGCGAGAAGAAGTGAGCCCTAACTCCATTTCTAACCGCTGCAGTATGGAAGACGCCCCCTGCTTGCCATCTGAGAGATAGATGAAGATGATCCCGAGATCCCCAACCTATGGAGAAACAACGAGTTCAGCATACAAAAACTACAAGAAGAAGAAACAGCAGCAATCAACTTATTCTAATTTCAACAGCATCTTATGGTTCTACTTTGTCAAGCAGTTGCTCAATCAAGAGCATGCAACAACCTCTTCTATAAATCTATTCACTGTCGTATTATTTCTCTTATCAACATGAAAGTAAACTCCTTTTCTCATTTCTAACAAAATCCCAAATCCTAAAGCGATTTCCTATGAGAAAATAATGAAAACACATATAAAAAAAAATAAACGAACCTTCAGTAATTCCTTCACCGCAGCACGGAGGAGTTTCTTGTCAAAACCCGTTTCACGGTTCGCATCAGTGCTGCGTCCATTCGGGACCCTGCAAATACAAAGTGAAAACGCAAAACGTAAGAAAATAGCTCCACCAAAACTCCATTTTTTTCTTTCTTTCTGAAGAATGGGAAAAAACAAGAAGGAAATCAAATGAGAAAACTAAACTTGTGGAAGAAAACACGAGCGAGAAAGTGCAGGATACCCGAATGGACGCAGCCATTGATGCACCGGTTTTGAATCGAGGTCGTGGAAGCCATTGTTGGAGCTCCATTGCTCCACAATTACCCAAATCTGCTGCTGTGTTGATTCTACTTGAAATGGAAAAAAATGGGAAGGAACTTGAGGGGTGCATGAGGTGAGAACAATAACTCTGAGTCTGCAAATTGTAGGTGGAAGTTTGATTGTCACACTAAACCTACGTACTTATTACCAAAAATCACCCCTATTAATTAATTTTTTTTTTTAATTTTCCATACAAGTCTCCTTCTTCCGCGTGAGCTACCTAAAACCCTAATCAACCCTGCACAAGTCATTCTTTTTAGGGGAAACTTAATACGAGTCCAATTTTATGAGCCATTATTAGTTATAGTCCAATTTTGTTTTAAATTTTGGGTTAGGTCCAGTGATTTATTATCCACTTAAGCTTATTTGTATTTTCTTGCCAAATTTACCCTCAAATTGACTAATTAAGTAATTATTATTTTTTTAATTTGTGATTAATGTTATCCTTAATTATAAGTTTAGGGATTGAAATCTCTTTTTTTCTTCTCATTTCCCCAACCGTTAATTTCTCTTTTCTTGTTTCTCCCTCACAATATCTTTCTCTTCCTATGTTATTTTGCTGAGTAATCTTCTTCCATAACATTCCTCTTCTCCTCCTCTTCCATAACAATGATGAATATACATTTGATTGGTTAAAAAAAAAAAAAATTGCATTAGTGTTTTGGATTCTTCGTTTTTTTTTTTTTTTTTTTTTTTGCTTCTTTTTCTTTTATATATGTATATATATATTTTATTTTTTCCGAAGTTCTATTGAATTAGCATTTTCTCTAGTGTTTCCTCCCTCAATATCATTTTTCTTTCCCATTTTTTTTATTTGTTTTATCTACCTATATCACTTGTCCTTTTTTATTTTTTTCATATTATAATGTACATGTATCATGAATAATTGTATTTATCTACCTATATATATATATATATATATATATATATTATATTCTATTGATAATTTAAGATTAATTGTGTTTATCTACCTATACCATAGGATTTTTTTTATAATACTCTACCCATATTAGAGATTAATTGCATATGTATCATATGTTTTTTTGTTTGTAAATTAACTACCTGCATCGCAGATTGATTGCATTGCCTACCTGCAACACAGATTAGTTGCATTATCTACCTACACTAGTTTGATTATATATTATTTAAATATATCTTCATGACATATTTTGTATTTATGTACCTATATCATAGGTTTTTTTCTTTTCGTAATCTACTGTTATCAAGAATGTATATCACAATAGATTTTGTTGTTGAAAAACATGGCATGAATTTTAATTTTAATTTTTTTTCCTTGGATATTGAATAGATTAAAGGCTTTAATGATTCAAATTTGGATAAATCAAGAAATTTAAATCTATTTTCATTTAGATTATAAAAGGGCAAAATAGACATAAAAAAATCAGTTATACCTAAACTGATAAGGCACATGGAATTGGACTCAATTGAAAAGTAGCTCAATTTTTTGGACTCGGATCTAAATGCCCCTTCTTTTTAATGCAGAGGGCACAGCGTCATCTTTACACGCTACCTACTCTTAAAGATATAACCTCATTTAAACCTTCTTTTGATCGACCACACTATTTGTATTAATTCCTTATTACTACTATTACTATTATTGGCCGCCTAATCGGATAAGTGGTTCCGCGGTCATAAAGTAGCCCACGTGGTAAAAGAATTCAAATTTAAATCCATGTGACATAAGTCTGTTAGAATTTATGCCAAAAATTAAAACTTATGTTATTCTAATATCGGATATAAATCCTAACAGACTTTAACCATAAGTCCACAGGGGTTTAAATCCAATTTTTTTTACCATAGAGGTTGTCTTCGGAATGCCTTATGATCATGGGAACTATTTATCCGATTATGCCTTAATAAAAAAACTGTTAGTATAAATTCCTTATTACTACTATTATTATTATTTAGGGACCAACATGGCACTCCAAGCACAACTGCAGTGGTATTTGCAAATATAACATGCATGGCCGATCGCGTTCATGCACCCCCCAGAACTAAACTGGAGAGGTTTTTAGATTTAGATACCTTGTTCCTCTATTTTTCGTATTAAACATGTAATGATGTATGCCTTTTAAATTTTTTATTAAACATTCTTGTACAATTTAAGTGTCACGTGTATAAGTCACGTTAACGTATATAAGCTAATTAATGAAAAACTGTTTGAGACATGATTCGTTATATAAGGTTAATTAACCATGCGAACGTTTGCAGCTCAAACAGGTAAAAATGTTTAACGCTACACTGCAAGTGAGTCACGTTAACGTTGGATTTTTAATAGCACAAAATGTGCATGTTAATATATGACAAGGTCGGCTACCAAAAAAAAAAATTGTTGGAGACAACATTTGCTTGCTCATGTACATTTGAAATTATATTAAACAATATATTGATGGTGTTAAGCGTGTACTCATGCATATTCTGGTGAATTTCAATTACTATAACGTATCGTATTTAAAATTTTCACTTCTCCTCCTGATTCCTAATAAGTCGCAAACTGATTTTATTTTTCCAGGTACCGGCCCGCCCCTTGGCAATGCTATTGGGCTTCTTATTATAATGTGGAGGCGGATCTAAGGATTGGCCCAATGCTATGGGGCTTCCATAAAATCCCACCCACAATATTGTCGCAGTATGGTTTGAGAGTTTTAACGAAACATTTCAGGTATTGTTCACTTTTAACGAAAATTCACATTTTTACTTTTTTCATAGTATTATTCACTACATCTTTATTTGTCATTTTTCATTAAAACTAAAATTTTGTTAGACTTTTCGTTAGTTTTTCTTTCTCTTTATGCTTTTGTCTTGGAGTACTAGAGTTGTAATTTGCAGTATGTTTATAAAAAGTGTAATTTTACAGGTTAGCCAAGTTGAATTTAAGTAGCAAGATGAATTTTAAAGACCTTACGAAGCCTCCTGCCTATTTAATTCAAACTTTTTTCGATGACTTCTATGTAGTCATTGAAGCTAAACTAATTATTCTTTAAAATTTATTTTTTGTTCTTAGGAGGGTGGACCCGTACGATGTTGATTTATAACTTGTGACAACAGAACAGAAGTGATGAATGAGGGTGGTTAGGTAGAAGGAACGGCCGATGCAAAACTTGAACTGTTGCACACGTGGGTAGCTGGAGGCCCTCCAATATAATTTTCAGCTAAAATAAAAATATTTATTATTTTCCGTAAATGCCCCTAACTAAATTCTTGATACGATAGGTAACAAATATTGAGGACTTGTTAGCAACTTTTGGAAGAATAATATGAAATATGAAAAGTGACTGTCTTGGTGCCTTGCAAACCAAGCGACACACTCTTGGCAATTTGGGAGGATTGAATTCTCACAATCCATTCCTCATCAATTACAATCTCTCTTCTGTATTTTGTAAATTTTAACCTCAATTCCTATTTGCTTTTATAAGCAATAATACTGAAGGGGAATTCAAATTACGAACATGTGCAAAAATAAATGTTATTAATCAAGTAATGGTAAACATTTTACCAACTCATTGTATGCTTATTTATTTCTACAAGTAACTCGGATCATCGAAAACTTATCTTACATCAAAGTATAACTGACGAATTTGTTTCGAGGTATATTATTAGCTAACAATTTATGTGTTATAATATGATCGAATCCATACCACATTTTAGTACTCTACAATTATACAATAATTACCCTAGGTTGTGCAAGTTACTAATTGAGGTGTCAACAAGCTAGGGACCCAAAATTTAGAAATTTGTAATCAAAATATGGGGTTGTTATTGTAATTTTAACAATTGCAAAGTTAAGTTGGAGAAAGTGAGATATGATCACAAGCTTTCTATCCTTCAAAATAGCACCACCTACCACTTGCTAGGAAGGCAATTGTCAGCTGAAAATCTCACGCCCCAAGATATATAGCCCCTCAAACAGCGGTTACATGCAATCCCAGTAGTTTTTTCAGACAAATATTTCCATCTCCTCCCTTTTTCTCCACAGCTTCCTGCTAATCATACCCCAAATCACAAAGCCAGTAAGAGTAATAGCTCTCTGCCTCTCTGCTAAATTGCTAATCACTCCCCCTAATGTTTATAGTCCCATTTATTTTTATATTTTTTATATTTTTTTTGGGTGGATTTTTTCATGATTAAAGTTTTAATCTTTGTGTTTTGCAGTGGGCACTGAAGTTGTAATGGTGGATGAAGTCCCTTTTCCTCCTCAGATCACAACCAGCAAGCTATTATCTCTGCTGGGTCAAGGTAAAGTCATCATCTTTTTCACATGCTATTAATTACATATCTGGGTTTTAACTTTAATTAGCAAAGTAAATCGAAAAATTACTGATGGGTAAATTGGGATTTTCGCAGGAATTACCGACATTGAGATTCACTTTCTTCAAATCAAGTTCACAGCAATTGGGGTTTACTTGGACCCTGAAGTTGCTTCACACCTTCAACAGTGGAAGGCCAAAAAGGCAGATGAACTTGCAGAAGATGATGACTTTTTTGATGCTCTTATTTCTGGTAAAGTTTCAATCTTTATCCGTCATATTCATTTGGCTAATAGCCCAATACCAATTTGATAAACGTGTGTCTGGTCAGTTGATCAGGTTAATGTTCATGTAGCTGGTGCTGAGAAATTAGAGTAGTTTAAAATATCGACCAAATTTGAAGTTAACCCAATTAGTTTTTGATCAAGTTGTGCGTTCATGTAGCCCCTGTTGAGAAGTTCATTAGGGTTGTGGTGATCAAGGAGATCAAAGGGTCACAATATGGAGTGCAGCTTGAGAGTGCAGTGAGGGACAGATTGGCAGCTGATGACAAATACGAGGAAGAGGAGGAGGAGGCCTTGGAAAAAGTTGTTGAGTTCTTCCAATCAAAGTACTTCAAGAAGGATTCCGTCATCACATTCCATTTTCCTGCAACTTCTGCCGCGGCCGAGGTAAAGAATCATCTTAATCAAAGGGTAGAAAGTAAAAAGTAACATGAATATTGTTGAACAACGTAAAATCCTCTACCGAGACATTTTGCGATGAAATCTCACACATGTTGTGCTGATAGGCAGTTAAACTTAAATGCACATTGAAGACGATATAAGTGTTGATTAGTAATTACTAATTAGTTGCTGACCCGACTCTGTGAAAGCTTTGGCAAACATCGTTACGAGCTATTGTTTAATTTGTACTTGAACTTTTATGTGTATGCAGATTGTGTTTAGCACCGAAGGGAAGCAAGAGTCGAAACTCAAAGTGGAGAATGCAAATGTGGTGGAGAACATCAAGAAATGGTATTTGGGTGGGACAAGAGGGGTGTCTCCTTCGACCATCTCCTCCCTGGCCAACGCACTCTCAGCTGAACTGAGCAAGTGAGTTAACTAAGGAAGGTCTAGTTCTTGGGGCTTATGGGATGTTACTGTTTGAATTGCAAGGCTCGTTTTGAAAGTTTGTGAAGGGGAAAAATCTGCGGTTTCTTGTTCTGTTTTGCGTAATAAAATGAATGATATATCGAGTTCTGTCCATTCAAATGTATTGTGCTGTTCGACAACATACATGACAATACATTATTAGTTTGAAATACTGTCACAGTGACGTATCTGGTATAGATAAGTGTTTCTCGTGAAGGAGAACGTCGGTCTTCGTACTCTTTACCGTTGAAAATGACTAATCCGTCCTGTCTGTCCTCAAACTTCTTAAAATCTGTTGAATTATTATATCAAGAAAACTTATTGGTAGCACATTGTTGATCATCCTGCTCATAGAGGTCAAATAATATGATCACAATATGAATATAACATTGTTGATTAGGAAATGGACCGGGCTTGATTTGGACTATTTTGGGCCGAGCCGACTTCAGGCTCAAAGTCTCAGCCCCACCTGCCTTATACGGGCCGGGTTGAACCTTGGCCCAATTAGAGTGGCACAATTGGTCCGACCCGTGAGCAGAAGAATTAATTTTTCTATTATTTCATACAATGATTATGGAGGATGATTTTGGCAAGCCAAGAGTCAACGATAATTAGGTATTAAACTCGAACTTGACATTCAGATGCAAACTTGATTACTTCTCGTCTTTCACTTACAAATATTGAAAAATATCATTACTTTGTAGTACTAATGACAAGATTAAATTCATTATCAACTCCATCCATATGATCTTCGAGACTTGGATAAAAAGATTGGCCTCAAATTCTCTCTTCCTAAATAAAAGAATACAAATAGTCCATGACGACACTATCATTCAATTGGTCATCCATGACAAGCTTTAGTAGATATTTTTTCAGTGTGTCTAGAATACAGATATATACGTCATATGTCATTATATAAATGAAAGGAGACTTGAAAAAAAAGAAAACGAATTGTCACCCCTTGTATACTGATGTATGGCATTTTGCTCCGTGTTAGGCACATTGAAAAAACTCTTTGAGCTTTAGATGTACCTTATTGGTACTTTTCATGTCCTCTCGTTTTTGGTGTACTAGTCATATATACCTAGTGGATCACTGCACATAAATTTAGTAATGCACACTTCTAGTGGACACATTGTTTGAAGATTCTACTTCAACCAAAAAGAAATTGCCACAAAGTAACGAAACCTGAGTGTATAATATATATCGTCCGTTAAGTGATTTTGACCATCCATTTAATTTCTGTAAATTATTCAATACACGTATTTCGTATTTCAGTCAAAATAGTGTTCCTCAAGTTTCTATACCAAATATTGCCTTGGCAGTAAAGTAATCTATGGAATCCAAGAAAAATCTCGAAGATGAAAGGTATATTTGATCAATCAAGTTGAAAAGAGGAGGGGGTCGTCCACTGATAAAATATGATGCTTAAGAAAATGCCTTCAGCTCCTCATTGCTTGAAAACATGGGTTTGAAATGAGATAGTGCAGGAATCAAATTTCTTGTGGGCCAACAAAAGGTGAAGAATGCAGGGGGAAAAGAGTTTGTGATTCCATTCTGTTAGCACAAAATGGTGGTTTCTTTTCCTTGTGTTCCTCATATAATTGCCCATCAATTCAAACAGGGAAATTCTAAGGTGCTTGGATCATGGTCATGGAAATGCTACTGCTTATGTTTTCATTAGCTTCCCACTTTTCTAACTTAACTTTTACTATCAGTTTTTCATCAACAAAAAGAGGGAGATTCGAACTTCAGATATTTTTCAACACCATGAAGAGAACTAACGCTAGACCAATATCTGGGTGATTTACATTCTCGTGGTGGAAACTAGAACAAGTATCACTAGATCCATTCTAAAATGTTTAGGTTGTGATTTGAAGTTGAAAATTTTCATGTTACATATATATGATATAATCACCATCTCGATGGTCAAATAATGATTGTATATAATACATATGTTTACATGAATTATATCTTACCGTCAAATTGTGGTTGTATTAAATATATGTACGTATTGTATTCAATCCCTAATTTTATATTCCTCAACTAATTGCAAAATAATCAGAAGACCTACATTAGTTTGACAAACTCCATCTTCCTTCTTTAACACATGTGATTAAAGAGACAATGGTATTGCCTCAAAATCCTCATATACAACAGAGAAACTTACGAGGATGCCACATTATGACGACATCTATTAAAATTAAGCACTGTCATTCATTTTAACTTAATCACATTGTAATATGTGATTAACTTAAAAATACTGTCACAATTGTATCCTCTAGTATAAGTCCTCCTCCAATTGTCCATATATAAGCATTGCCCTAGCACCCATTCTTAATAAAATACAAACACTCTATTAGCTAGCCAGCCTCATCAACGGAGATTGTCGCATCACCTTGTCCACCTGATGATACATTTCCAGCATGTCTAGCACCACCACCATCAACATTTTCGGCCGAATCCGAACTGCCTGCAGCCGGCTGCTCAAGCAACGAATGGCGGCAAATCGGGCACGACGAGTGTGACAAAAACCATGTGTCTATGCACCTGACATGAAATCCATGGCTGCATTTCGGCAGCAGCCTCACTTTCTGCCCGTCTGTAAACTCTCCAAGGCAAATTGGACAATCTGTGGAGGGAATATTTTGTCCAGTCCCATATACCACGATGGGAATCTGGCGCAATGTGCGCTTTCTAAGCCCCGTGGCCGCCAACCGCGCCGCCGTCTCGTCTGGTGTCTCAGAAGAGAACCTTCTGCTGCATCTCAGCGCACACCGGACTATTGAGTTTAGTCCCAATGCAAATATCAATGCGCACAGCAAGGCTGCTAGGATGATGACCATGTTGGTGTCAAAATTGGCATCATTGGCATACGTATCATGTGCCTTGCTCCCATTGGCTTCACTGACGTTTGTACCACGTGGTCTGCTCCCATGGGTTGGTGATGCTGGTGGTGTACTTGTTGGTTGGTCTAGAAGTAGGCGGTGTGGACGGTGGTGATGAAGAGTTACCATTGATTGATGAATGATGAACCTTTGATGGGTTACTTCAATTCACCAAAATTAAGACAACAAACTTGTAGCTCAGTTAGTTAACTGTATCCACTTCGTACAACTGAGGTTTCAAGTTCGTTTTTCACCAATTAAATATCGCTATATCAATTCACTAGGGACGCACTGCTTAATTGGTTGAGAGCATTCAACTAATACAATCCGAGATTCTAAGTTGGATTCCGCTCTCCCGCTAAATATCAGTTGACCAAAACTAAGAGAACCCAATTTCCTCTACTTGAAGAAAAGGTAAAAGAAGGTACCTTTTTGGTGAAGCTAGGCAAATAAGCTTGGAGTTTGACGTCTCCATGGCTTTTTAGCGCCAAATCGCACGACAAAGGAGACTGAGAGAAGGGATTTCATCTTCCCCATGTACAGCCAAGGCTTTCTCTTATTTTTGTTCCACTGTCTAGCTAGCTGAGAGAGAGAGAGAGAGAGAGAGAGGCCTTTAGGGTTGCTAGCAATGTCTACAAGGATTGCAATTAGATAAAAGGACTTTCTAGAAAAGCATATATATGGATATTGTGGTGTCGGTGATGAGGGAAGACGTGGTGAATAGTAAAAAAGCTGAAGCTTTCAAGGTAAATAATCACTTTTACTCCTAAGAAGAACAACCCTAAAACTCGAAAAGGACAAGATGAAGATCCAGAAAACTCAGAGGCTCAAAGGTTGAAGCTTGTTCTGCTTTCCTTCATTTCAAGAGAGAGAGAGAGAGAGAGAAAGAATTTGGTATTTTCAGCAGATTTGTGAGAGTTATATAGAGACCATTTTGTAGTATTTGGATTGTTTGTGGTTGAGGGGATTGCAGATAAGAGGATGCCAAACGAGATAAAGATGGTTGTCCTTTCAAATTCCAGTGTGTGCATTATTGTGGGCAGTGCAAAGGATTAAAGTGTAGAATCGAGTGGGGAAAAAGGTGGTGCTCTAATGACCTGGGTAATATAAGGGAAATTAAAATTTTAAACCGTATTTGCAGATTAAATAATGTGTTACAAATAGAAAATAAACATGTTAATTAACATTTAAATAGTAATTCAATCATCAATAAACAAATCATTTATTTTGTAAATTTGATTTAAAAAATTTAATTCCCTAGCATTACCTGTTACCAAAATTATTCAACAAAATAAAGTTAAAATGTTGAGAAAGGTTAAGATGATTCTCTAAAAAATAGGACTCTTCATGGACGCTCCGATACCTTATATTTTTATACAGTGTTTTATAATGTTGGTACGAAAATTAACATTAAACTGTGAAGTGACAAATAGTCAATAAAGAGTTCAACTTTGAGAAAGTTTCTTAGCATTTCTCTAAAATGTTTGATTAAGCTCTAATTTACCTCATCCACCTTATCCTAATCTCAATTGTGGCTTCAACAAGAAAGAAAGCCCTTATTTATTCCAAGCACTAATCCTCCTTCCACTTCTTCACTCTTCCCTCTCTTATTGAAAAGTAAAATCATTGTTCCCACAATTTAGATGACATAATTATTAATTAATGATAAATGTCCACATTTGCAATTGTAACAGCCCGTCCCGAAAATATCGAAAACGCATACGTGAAAAGACGGTTTTGTCCCTAGTTCGTTTCTTTTACGTCTATTGGTTGTTTTGGGTTGTGTTGGCATGTGTAGGGCCACACACTCACACCCTCACTTTCCCTATCCCTCTGTCCCTTTCCTTGTCTCTGTCCCGCGTCTCTCTCTCCTTTCCCATTCACCATAAACGTACGAACACACACACAATCACACTAAACACCCACAGATCGAGGGAACCAAGCACACCTTCGAGCTCGTGAGGCTCGTGGGAGTCCAGTCGTGCCATTTTCAGGTGAGAACTCTATCGTTTTCACGTCGTTTCGACGATGTCCGATTTGGGTACTATTCATGCAAACGTAATTCCTCACGTTTTTGGGAAAATGAAGCTTGTAGGTAGCTTGGTGAGGTCCCAAGGAGTCTCGGAGTAGTTCGTTTGAAGGAATTGGACGTCGGGATCACCGTGTTCGAAGTTAGCCGGATTTGGATTGTGTGGACAGGTGAGATCTCGTAGTTTTTAACCCTTGAAAGTGGTATATCGTTGTTCTCCTATGTCTAAGCTTCAATTTGGTGGTAATTTTATGAAATTTGGGTGAGAAACGACGGAGATATTAACGTTTGAAGTTTTCGCGATTTTCCGGCGCCGGCGACGTCACCGGAGTCTCGCCGGGGAAGAAGACGGAATATTCCGTCAAATCTGACGGAATATTCCTGACGCCGTTGACGAAATCCGTTAGAACTAACGGAATATTCCCTATGGCGTCAGTTGACCCCGTCAGCGTGCCAAGCATGTGCCTGCGCGTGGCCGGCGCGTGCGGCGGTGGAAAATTTTTCTAAAAATTTGGGTGTGATCCTGAGGTTGTGTAGAGCACTTTGGTATATTCAATTGTCCAATTTGAGCAATGTATGAGAAGTTATTACGAAAGGAAGGTTATGTGCTTTAAAATTAACGTTTTTATAGTATTTTCGCATATAGGTGAGACATACCCCGAGGACGAGCGTGGTCACTCGAGGCAGGGGGGCTACGACCCTTCCACATATCAATGAATGGGCTTTTGGTTTTCCGTATATACTTATATACTTATAATTCCCAGAAATTTATATAAATGTTTATTAGTTATATGCCATTCCTTTTATATGGTTGGTTAGTATGCATGATTAGTTGCATATATGTTTATTTATATATATTCATTTATATGTTCATATATATACATTGGTGCTGTGGATGCACAGGTAAGTGCCAGGTAAGCCTTATTTAGTAATTGCATTCCATAGTGATTAGAGATGCTTAGAGAGCTCATAACCTGCACCCCCGGTGTTAGTGCTCCCGCCCAGAGTAGGGCACAGTCCTTCACGTGTTGTTCACCTCCCGCACCACACGCTCAGCTTGGATCCAAGTTAGGTGCACAGTCTTGTCGTACAGACCACTTTAGGTGGTTCCGACTCGTAGGTGACCCGCGATTATTCGCACAACCTTCACGTGATCGTAGCACTAGAGCGTTTATATGTATTACACCCAGGCCTGTCGTACAAACCACTTTAGGTGGTTCCGACTCGTGGACAGGTTTAGTTATTGTGATTGAGATTTGAGCTCTAGATTCAGCCGTACAGGTCACTTTAGGTGACTCCGGCTGCCAGTTATATGTTGTTGATATGGTTTATACCTGAGCACCTGCTTTCCATTTTGAGTTTCTGGCATGGCATATTCTTGAGCATGGTTGATGTATATATTTATACGTATATATGGTTATTTTCTGGGAAGTATACAGGTTTTACGCGCGAGGGGTTAGAACTTATTTTGCTAAATGGTTTTTGAAAAGCTTTGTTTTTGCCCACTCACGTTTTTGTTTTGTGCCCCTCCAGGTTTTAGCTAGCTAGCAAGGTTGGTGGTTTCCCAGAGGGCTTTCCCGGCATTTCTGACAGACGATCACTAGCGTATGCCCACCTTCGGGTGCACTGTTGTAACGCTATTTAGTTTGGACTGCTTTAGGCGTTTTGGCTCTGAACTTAGCGTCTCACTTACGCTAGCACTTATTACTTTTATCTTATGTATGCTAGTTTTTAATTATTCGTACTTTTATGTTACTATTCTATTAGCTTCCGCACTGTGCACTTGGTTACGTCACCTTCTCGTGACGGCCAGCACGCTCATGGCCTCGGTCGGGGTGTGTCAGCAATTGTAAGAGGATTACCAATATTATAAGAGTATTTTTCTCACCACCATAGCTATGATATATGTTTACTATATACTTAATCACCTGTCACGTGTTTTCTCATTCTAGTTAATTTTCACATTAAATGTTAATTTTTGAATTTAAAAAAAAATAATTAAAATTAAGTGAAATGACACGTGGTAAATGATTAGGTGTATGATGTATGGTGGTGAGCAAAGGAAAGGGATCCTCTGGATCCCTTTCCACCTAATCCGAGATATGGGGCGTTGAAATTTGATCCAACGATTACAAACATAGGACCCCTTTAAAAGTGATAATAATTATAACCGTTGTATCAAATTTCGACGGTCTGAATTTCAAACTAGGTGGAAATGGATTATTTCCGTGAGCAAAAATGCTCCCAATACTATACATGTAAAACTTAACCCCCCACTTTATCAAAAAAAAGAAAAAGTTAACCCCCACGTCTAATTAACTAATATTAATACAATATTATGTCTCCGAGTGCGCTTGTGGATTTGAAGACATGTAAAATTTGCCCTATGCGTTATGAGACCCAATGCAGATTGGATCGTGTATTTCTCAATGAACAATTGTCATTGATGAGATTTAAACTCAAGATTTCATTCAATAAGTAAAGAATAAATGAGTGATTGTGGGTAGCTCATGGTTGACCCTAAGACTATCTCTAACCTTGGGGTTAAAATCTAAAATTTTTAGCCCAGAAAATTTAGGTTTTAACCCAGAAACAGCTTTTTTACTCAAACTTCTTTGGGTTAAGGTTTTAACCCCAGATTATTAAAGAATAAATTTAGGTTAATTTTTTCTTAAAGTAACTTTTTTACAAGAAAAAAAAATTATGTAGACTATTGTATTTAATTTTATGAACATTTTAACCTAAAAATATTTAGATTCCAATAAATATTGAAAAATCACTAACCGACATTATGGAACTCGTGAAACACTATGAAAAAATATGAAACGCATAAAAGATTTTTTTTTTAATTACCTTAGCCATTAGATTTAAATTTGGACCGTTAGATATTTTTTTTACCGTTGAATTTCATCAAATTAGATCTTAACCGTTGGATTAAATGAATTTATAAATATAAAACTAAAAAAAAATCCATATATGATGGACCAACCCTACTAACCCAAGGGGAAATCCTGGGCTAAATTTGACCCAGAAATGAGTTTTGAGTTTTAACTCATATTTATCCTAAGAGTTGGAACAAGTTGGAATAAGTTTAAAATCTAAAATTTGAGTTTTATTACAAGAGTTGGAATAGGTTTAGAACCTAAATTGTCGGCATTGACACATAGACATGCAAAAAGTC